GTTGGTAGAGCATGGCGCTTGCAACGCCAGGGTTGTGGGTTCGATTCCCACGGGGGACTAGTACGAAAAAAATTATAAAAATGTAAACACTCACTACTGTTAGTGCTTACTAAATGTAAAATTAATGTCAATCATACAATTAAGTACATTTCTTACACTAAATATAGACGTTCTATAATAATAGTTGTTTCAGAATGTTGCATGTCAATAAACTGATTAAAGCAAAGTGTTTACCGGCACGACTCAAAGCTGCCAGTGATGGTTGGAGCCATGCTCCTTACAGTTTACAGTAAACCAGATTCCACCATGGTTTCAACAACAGAGCCCACATCACACTATCCTCTATACACATCGTGTCATCCAGTCCAGAGAGACCTGATATCACCTACTAAAATTACACAACAAGCATCAACGTCCTGCAGCAGTCCCTGCATCATGTGTGTCCTGAGCACACTATGTCAGCTGTTAGCACACCAGGTCAGCTGTTTGTTCACCCGCCTGCAATTATTAATAACCCATCCACAACCGCACGACTATTTGTGATAAAGTGAAAATCAGAGGCCCGCACCCGACCCTAACCCACAAACATAGAAAATGCACTGTAGGCTACAGTCAGAGATGTCAGAACCATTTTTTGACAGGGGGTGCAGGATTTTTTTGTTGTTGCCTAATTTAGATGTTTCTACTTATAATGTACTACATTTTGGTAGGCTATCTGTTAGTCAACCTGTCTATAATTAGATACACGCAGCTCCTCTTCTGTCATTAGGTGTTGCCCTGGATGTAATGCACTCACTAACTGTAAGTCGCTCTGGATAAGAGCGTCTGCTAAAATGACTAAAATGTAAAAATGGAAGACTAAATTAACCATTGCTCACCAGAATAATGTCATAAATAGATAGAATGAAATGAATGCTTCAATCTATATGACATATCTGCTTCTTTCGCAGAGCAAATACGCTTAGGGACCAGGAAGAAAATGCAATAAATAAAATAAAATATATATATTTTTAAAAGATTTTTTGTGCAAAATGTCCAAATGACATCAGTTTAACCGGTTTTAAGGAAATAGACAACTGTGAAAACGACCCAAAATGTTTCGGATAAGATAACAGTTCGGCTTAGATGCATATTTTATGTGGTTGAAATACTATCAGCTTTTATGATGCTGATAAAGATAGCACCTCTAACTGCAACGTTTACATTTGGTGTATGATTTTACTGCAATAATTGCTTAATTCTGCAGGAGCTAATATTAAGGCTACCTGAGAGGTTATAGACCTACAGTCAGTTTCCAGATTTCAGATTCCATTTAACCCATCTGAACAGCAGGCTACAGTTCCCTTGACGTGCCATAGGCCAACTTGAAGTCCCCGTCTTGTGACTGTCGAATTTGTATAGTGCATCACGCCTCACAATCATCACACATAATATTCACTGCTATCATCCTCTTTTACCACTTCACCAAATATTTCCCAAACATGATTTTTCTGGTCCTCCCTTCTCTTTATCTTCAACTTTCCATTTTGCAGCTTTTCTATTATTGAATTCAACTCCAACATTGTCCTTACGTTTTCTGCCCGTTCGCAAAAGCATTTGGTGATTGGCGTGTAAACTATTTGCCGCGCAATGAGTTACACACTAAAGCTTAGGGAAAACAGGCATTGAGGATGTTGCTCTACCAAGGAGAGGAGGTAACATCGAGACCCTGCTACCACAGAGGGAGGCCTACTGGATATCCTGTTTAAAAACACTGACCCCTAGTGGTCAATATTGACTTTGATCTCAGGCCCTTCTTATGACCAATTATATTTTCTGTGAACAGGTCTTGAAAATGAATGTATTCTTTCTACAGCTTATCAGCGTACACCAAATATGTTCCCCCTGTTGATAATGCTTATTATGCATTATGGTTGAACCAAAATATTACATGTAACTAAACAATTTAATGAAATTGGAAATGTTTAAATATATAGGTGAAATTAAATGAAACAATGTATGTTGATGCTCATGTTATGCTAATGCTAATGCTAACAATGGCATAATATATTCAATATGCTGTTGTCTTTTAACAGTTTCGCTCAATTCATTCTGATTAACCTAGCAATTACGACACACCCCTCACTATTGTCATTGGTTGCACTAATTGCACTGTTTGTCTACATAACCAGGTTCAAGCATTCATGACATCACCCTGAAGAAGGCACAGTGATGCCGAAACGTTGGTGGTTTTCTTACCCAATAAATGACTGGGAGTTTATACATAGAGTGTGCGACTCTCTTCATTTGTTTTTATAACCACGCATTGAGTTAGACACTAAAGCTTAGGGTTATACAGTAATGCCAGAGAGTATAAAAATAATGAAAGAAAAACCTCAATGTAGCCTATAGATATAAATTGCACAATAATGATACATTTATGGATTTTTTTATACGCATTGTTTTCTCCTTATTCAACCCAACCACCAACCACCCACCCTTCATCCACACAATATTTCATGAACCTAAACCCGCCCGCCTGCGGGTTATGAGTAAACCCGCGCATCACTATAGCACACCCATCCTTTCTCATCTGGAACCATCACACACACCTCTTCAGGAACTCCTATAGGAGCAGCGGGTTAGCAGACCCATCCTTTCTAATCTTCAACCATGAGTAAAAGGCTGATCCAGGTTTTTGGCTTCTTTGATCTCAACACTGGGATTACAGGAGGATCACCAGGGAGGCTCCTTCATTATAAAGGTGGCCTGGCACTGGTCCGACCTGTGGAAGGAGTGCTTCACTTACTCGACAGCCTTCACCAACTGAAGATACTTCCCTGTGCTGTGGTTTGTCAAACGTAAGAACACTGTTCAAACATCTGACTTCAGGGTTTCTTGTACAGATTACAATGTAGGAGCTCTGCAAATTGATTCCCATCCTGTTGCGAACTTAATTATTGTCAATGAGAGCAGATTGTAGCTTTATTCCAATGAAGAGAACTCTTGAAATCTTACTTTGTGCTGATCTATAAAATGTTGACTTCTTCTTCTTCTTCTTCTTCTTCTTCTTCTTCTTCTTCTTCTTCTTCTTCTTCTTCTTCTTCCAGCTTTGTTCAGGCAGTGTGAGGTTTGCTCATGTGTGTGGTAACCCTGGGGGATTTCAGTGCAATATTTTGCTTTGTTTGGATAGAATACACATATATCGTAGGAAAAAAAATAAAACATGCGCTTTTGATAGGTGGATCCGTGTTTCACTTTGTCGGTGGTAAGTACTGTCCATGGCAGTTCGGCTCTACAAATGACAGAAATGTTTTTCCATCAACATTTCCTGGTGTGACTGAAACCTCTTCTCAGACATACGGTTGAAGTCGGAAGTTTCCATGCACTTACGTTGGAGTCATTAAAACTCGTTTTTCAACCACTCCACAAATTTCTTGTCAACAAACTATAGTTTTGGCAAGTCGGTTAGGACATCTACTTTGTGCATGACACAAGTAATTTTTCCAACAATTGTTTACAGACAGATTATTTCACTTATAATTCACTGTATCACAATTCCAGTGGGTCAAAAGTTTACATACACTAAGTTGACTGTGCCTTTAAACAGCTTGGAAAATTCCAGAAAATTATGTCATGCCTTAAGAAGCTTCTGATAGGCTGATTGACATCATTTGAGTCAATTGGAGGTGTACCTGTAGATGTATTTCAAGGCCTACATTCAAACTCTGTGCCTCTTTGCTTGACATCATGGGAAAATCAAAAGAAATCAGCCAAGACCTCAAACATTTTTTTGTAGACCTCCACAAGTCTGGTTCATCCTTTGGAGCAATTTCCAAATGCCTGAAGGTACCACGTTCATCTGTACAAACAATAGTACGCAAGTATAAAGACAATGGGACCACGCAGCCGTCATACCGCTCAGGAAGGAGACGTGTTCTGTCTCCTAGAGATGAACGTACTTTGGTGCGAAAAGTGCAAATCAATCCCAGAATAACAGCAAAGGACCTTGTGAAGATGCTGGAGGAAACAGGTACACAAGTATCTATATCCACAATAAAACAAGTCCTATATTGACACAACCTGAAAGGCCGCTCAGCAAGGAAGAAGCCACTGCTCCAAAACCACCATAAAAAAGCCAGACTACGCTTTGCAACTGCACATTTGGACAAAGATCGTACTTTTTGGAGAAATGTCCTGTGGTCTGATGAAACAAAAATAGAACTGTTTGGCCATAATGACCATCGTTATGTTTGGAGGAAAAAGGGGGATGCTTGCAAGCCGAACAACACCATCCCAAACGTGAAGCACAGGGGTGGCAGCATCATGCTGTGGGGGTGCTTTTCTGCAGGAGGGACTGGTGCACTTCACAAAATAGATGGCATCATGAGGAAGGAAAATTATGTGGATATATTGAAGCAACATCTCAAGACATCAGTCAGGAAGTTAAAGCTTGGTCGCAAATGGATCTTCCAAATGGACAATGACCCCAAGCATACTTCCAAAGTTGTGGCAAAATGACTTAAGGACAACAAAGTCAAGGTATTGGAGTGGCCATCACAAAGCCCTGACCTCAATCCTATAGAACATTTGTGGGCAGAACTGAAAAAGTGTGTGCGAGCAAGGAGGCCTACAAACCTGACTCAGTTACACCAGCTCTGTCAGGAGGAATGGGCCAAAATTCACCCAACTTATTGTGGGAAGCTTGTGGAAGGCTACCCGAAATGTTTGACCCAAGTTAAACAATTTAAAGGCAATGCTACCAAATACTAATTGAGTGTATGTAAACTTCTGACCCACTGAGAATGTGATGAAAGAAATAAAAGCTAAAATAAATAATTCTCTCTACTATTATTCTGACATTTCACATTCTTAAAATAAAGTGGTGATCCTAACTGACCTAAGACAGAGGGAATTTCTACTAGGATTAAATGTCAGGAATTGTGAAAAACTGAGTTGAAATGTATTTGGCTAAAGTGATTACTGTGGTTAAGTGGCTACTGATTTATGCTTTCTACTCTTTACTAAGGTATGATTTAGGAACTCCCATTTTTCTTGGATTGTTGGGAGCTTTTTGAATCCTTTTAGGGGCCATCCTCTATGCTGTAACTGTGTACACAGTCCTATTCCTTTAAACAATGTAAGAAAACACAAAATGTACACTCTTAGAAAAAAGGGTTCCAAAAGGGTTCTTCGGCTGTCCCCATGAGAAAACCGTTTTTGGTTCCAGGAAGAACCCTTTTTGGTTCCAGGTAGAACCCTTTTGGGTTCCATGTAGAACCCTCTGTAGAAAAGGTTCTTCATGGAACCCAAAAGGGTTTTACCTGAAACCAAAAAGGGTTATTCAATGGTTCTCCTATGGGGACAGTCAAATAACCATTTTAGGTTCTAGATAGCACCAGTGTATCAGAATGACAGCCGTTCATTATATCTCTGAACGGTAAGATCACATTGTTCCTGCATGCCATCATTGTGATGCCTTCATCCAATAATTGCAATGACAACTACGTTGTAAAAAAAAATGAGAAATTACGACCACAAATAAGTGCTAAATGGCATAAAAAATGTAAGTCCAGGTACTCGTGTGGGTTTGCAAGTTAAAAAGCCTTTAATGTGTGGGCTAGTTCATTATTAAAATACACCAACGCGTTAGAAACAATGTTGTATTGTGTGTTTATTATTTCAGAGTGGTGTATGCCTATGGTGGTCCTGGAAGACGCCCCTCGGTCCGGAGGCAGAACCTTCTACACTGGATAATACAGCCCGCCCAGACAGTACGGCTCCTGTGGCTCAGCAAGAGTCAGCAGCTCCACACTCTCCAGTATCTCCCAGATAACTCCTGAGAAACTGGGCGGCAGGTAGCTTAGTGGGTAAGAGCGTTGTGCCAGCAACCGCTGGTTCTAATCCCTGAGCCGACTAGGTGAAAAATCTGTCGATGTGCCCTTGAGCAAGGCACTTAACCCTAATTGCTCCTGTAAGTCGCTCTGGATAAGAGCGGCTGCTAAATGACAAAAAAAAACAAAAAAAACTGTCAGACAGTGATAACTTGGGGGTGAAGTCTATCATGGAAACATCGTTTTTTTTTCCAGCTACATAATTTCATATTGTCTTTTCAGTTCAATGTATATTGCTTTGACGTCTGAGTTTTCCTTTACAAACTTACCACATACTGTTTTCTGTCTGTATGGTTGATATACCCAGAAAATAATTAGTTTCTGTGCTATTATGACATGAGAAGGATCTCTGTATGTAATTATGATATGTTTGAAGTTGTATAATTGTATATAATAAATAAATAATATGCCATTTAGCAGACGGTTTTATCCAAAGCAACTTACAGTCATGTATAATTGTTATTGAATTCATATAAATAAAACATTGGATATGCAATAGCAAGAATGGAATCATTATTGCAGCGATTGCAGTCAACTTACTATTTTGTAAAACCTACAGGCTCTTAAAACCTCTATGGAAAACCATGGCGATGACATAACATGAACACAACCTGTGTTTTTAGGCCTAAACAAAACTAACTTCATGGTGGTAGGATCCTGGATATTATACCAATAACAAACATGGCATGGGTCAGCAAACACCTTGCATCTTCTTCCATCAGTGTGGAGCAAGTAGGTTGTGATGATATACACAAAGAGAGACTCTCCGGTGACGAAGGGGCGGGGGTTGGCAGAGGTAGAATGTGAGCCTTTCTTCTCCAAACTAGCTAACAGTTCTCCTCAGTTTTAGTTCTGACAGGAGCAGGCAACAGCTCTACTGCTATCTTTCCTCCCTCCTGTCTGGTGTCTTTGAACACAGAGAGGCAGCCATGAATTACAGGACAGTAGTAATGTACATGGAGATTGGCTGCTTTGTGATCTGTGTGTGTGGATGGATCCTGGTCTGCTCTACGATGCCCACTGAGATATGGACCTGGTCTGAGGTAGACAGCATCGTTCTGACCAGTTCAAACTACTTCTCCAACCTCTGGAAGGATTGTGTTTCTGATTCAACTGGAGTGTCCGATTGCAAGGGTATCCCATCGATGTTCGGACTTAACTGTAAGTGAAGAATTCAAGTGGGTGAAGGAGTCTTTGTTTTATTATAATAGCATGTCAAAATAATAAAACAACTGCATTGGGTTCTTCGAGAGGCAAGAGGAAAATGTACCCAGGTGCCACAAGGCTGTATAACAATGGATGAGGTATTGTGCAGTAGTGAATTTAAACTTTCATGAACAAACCATGACCTCCTTACTCCTCCTCCTGGACAGGGGACATCCATATGTGCCGAGGTCTGATCATCACCTCTATTATCTTGGGATTCTTCGGGGCCATTCTGCTCCTAGTCGGAATGAAGTGCACAAAGATAGGAGGATCTGAGGTTACAAACGCAAGAGTGACTTTCGCTGGAGGGATGAACTACCTTGTATCTGGTAAACATTTTCTTTTTGTTGATGTTGACGTGGCTATTCTTATGGTTGGATTCCTGGGTGAACTCTAACAGTCGAGTTGTCTTGTTCCAGGGTTGTGTTCCTTGATTGCATTCTCTTATTATGGAAACAAAATAAGAGAAGAATTTCAGGATCCCAATTTCAGGGCACAAAAGTGAGTAACATTTATCAATTCTATGTAGATAAAATGCTTAAAAAGGGGTTTAGATTTGTAATCAGTAATATATGAAAACATGTCACAATTATTATGGTATAAGGGACATTAAGGTGTTTACAGTGAAAATGCATGGGACATCTTCATAGCTCATTTTGATCGTATCCCAACAGGTATGAAATCGGAGTAGCTGTGTACATTGGCTGGGGAGGCTCCACCCTACTGGTCGTTGGGGGCCTCATTTGCAGTATCTTTGCGGGGAAGGAAGCATGTCAATCAAGGTGTTTTTTTTCTTCTATGCATTTCATATCAAAAATCACATGCTCTAGATTTCAATTAATGTGCATAGTAAGGGGATCTAATGACGGTTCCATCTCCAATCCAAACTTCACAGCTCAAAGAACAAACACATGCCTGTCTACAAGCTCCCTGATGCCTACATGGCACCTCCTGCTGAACAGACGCTCAGACCGATGTCAACAGCGCTCACAGAGGGTGGAGAGAGCAGTAAAGTTAGCAGTGAGACTCGGAGCAGTAGGAGCAACAGCAAGACTCCTTCCAGTTTGAACGCTTATGTGTAACCTGCTGTAGCAGTCTACAGTTTGACATAATAAGCTATTCTGTGTTCTATCCATATTGATGTGTAAAGCGTTCATCTGTGGGGGGGGGGGGGGGGGGGGGGGTTGTGAATGAATGGTTAGTGAAGTTGCAATTTAATAATAGTTCCGTAGCTTGTTTATTTTGACAATCGTGTACTTACATTTTTTTCCACTGTTTGCTATGTATTGCATTTTATTTGTGAATAAAATATTACAAACATATTATTATATTTTCATTCATTAATCCTGCCTAACCTAAATCATACTTGATTTCCATTGCACCCCAATATCAATCGATTAATCAATCATCATCATCATCAGCAGCAGCAGCATCCTCATCAGTTTAAGCTACAGCAGAGCCAAAGATTGAATTTGTGGTAAAGATTCAATTCACAATGAAATAGAACTGTGACTGAGCTACAGCTGTGTATTTTTCAAAAAATTGCCCAATCAGAGCGACCCACGACCGGTAGGCCAAAGATTTCAATAACAATTTGCGGATTGGATTATGCTAAGCCAGGGGCACCGGTCTACGGTAAATGACGTGAACGGGCAAAAGCGGTGAGGGGGGAGCGCCCTTCTCAAATTGAACAGTAATCTGTGTCGCTCGGTCATGTTGTCAACAAGGCAGCATGGTGCATCGTCCAGAAACATACATCTCTTTTCCATAAAATATATGTTAGAATTTTCAAACTAGTTTTCATTAGGTACGCAGATAAAGCGTTTTTATCAAAAGCAATCACTTTGCATGTGAAAACACAGAACCTTACTCATTATTCCACATGCTCCCAAGTCACTTTTGTTTTGAGCCGACTTCACCGTAGGCTTTGAACGGGGCACCAGGCTCACTCCAGGTAGGCAGCACGGTTCCAAAACGAATGCAATCAACTTTCACCCGCAAAACAAGCCTAGGCCAGATAAATTGTTTTTTCTGTGGGTCATTCTCTGCCGAGTCCCCAACAACTGGATGTTCCGGTTTTCAGGCCAAATGGAAAAGAGAGACTTCCGCTTTTGGACGTTAACAAGGCCACACTCCATCTTAACTCCTCCTCCACATTTATTGGATTGGTTGAACAGTGCAGAAGAGAATCTCCCCCGAAAAATCTCCTGGACATCAGAACAGCGATCACTAACCTCAATTTGGATAAGATTTCTACTTCATTGAGTCGGAGGTGCAGGACATACTGCTCACCCCGGACCAGGCCCTAATCCACGAGACTCTAAAAAGAAAAAGAGAGGCCGATGTGAGGGCACACTGACAAAATGTAAAATCAGTAGAGAGCAAACTTGACAAGTTCCATTTGAGACTATCCTATCAACGAGACCTGAAGAACTGTAATATCCTATGTTTCTCAGAGTCGTGGCTGAACAAGGACATGGATAATACACATCTATCTGGTTTTTCTATGCATCGGCAAGACAGAACCTCAGCGTCGGGTAAGCTCAAGGGGGGAGGTGTGTGTCTCTTTGTTAACAACAGCTGGTGCGCAATCTCTAATATTAAGGAGGTCTCGAGGTTCTGTTCACCTCATTTAGAATACCTCATGATAAGCTGTAGACCCTATTATTTACCAAGAGAGTTTTCATCTATATTTTTCGTAGCTGTCTATTTACCACCACAAACTGGTGCTGGCACTAAGACCGCACTCAATGAGCTGTATAGGGCCATAAGCAAACAAGAAAATGCTCATCCAGAGGCGGCGCTCCTAGTGGACAGTGGTTTTAATGCTGTGAGTCAGTCACCGGGGGCTGATACTGTCATGGTTCATGTGGGGTCCAATTACATTATGAAGGGCAGCTCAGAACAACTGAAGATGGATTTTAAAGAACTGATAGGGTCTCTACTTGACACCAACTAACGCCCCATAATATTTGGCCCTCTGCCCTCCCTAAATTGTGGCACTGAACTGTTCAGCAGACTATTAGCCCTCCATAACTGGCTATGAGACTATTACAGCATGTAACATTTATTGACAATTTTGATACCTTCTGGAAACAAAGCTCGTATTATAAAGAGGATGGGATCCACCCAAATCATTTGAGTTCCTGGATCCATTCACAGCATTATAAGGCTGTGTTGAGACAATTACTTATCAATGACCCAAGTCCAGCTCATTTAAACCCTAGCATTGTGTCGCTGAGTTGTCATAATGCTTCAGCAAATGTGCATTATCCTAGGGGAGTTGGAAGACACAATGTAAATAACCTAATTTATGTCCCTCTTACTGCCCTGAATGCCTCTGCTGATCCTACAGCTATTGTGTGCTGTAATCATATGCCTATGAACCAGAGTAATACTGTTAGCACTGAGGTGGTGTGCCCTAGAAGGAAGTCCACTGTGTGCAGTTCACTCTGCACTAATAAAAATAACCTGAGTATGTATACATCTGCTAAGCTTCCCAGTAAAGCAAGAAAAATAATCAAGCATCCCAGAAAAGTGTTAGAAATAGCCCACGTTAACATATGTAGCTTAAGAAACAAGGTCACATATTGAGCAACAACTGTCCCGATTTCGGGACACCGATCCAGTAGAGGTTAATGCTTTTTTCATTGGCAAGATTAGCAAACTTAGGCATGACATGCCAGCATCAAATGCTGACACTACACATCCAAGTATATCTGACCAAATTATGAAAGACAAGCATTGTGATTTTGAATTCCGTAAAGTAAGTGTGGAAGAGGTGAAAAAAGTATTATTGTCGATCAACAATGACAAGCCACCGGGGTCTGACACTTGGATGGAAAATTACTGCGGATTATAGTGGACGATATTGCCACTCCTATTTGCCATATCTTCAATTTAAGCCTACTAGAAAGTGTGTGCCCTCAGGCCTGGAGGGAAGCAAAAGTTATTCCCCTACCTAAGAATAGTAAAGCCCCCTTAACTGGCTCAAAAAGCTGACCAATCAGCCTGTTACCAACCCTTAGTAAACTTTTGGACAAAATTGTGTATGACCAGAAAAAATGCTATTTTAAAGTAAACAAATTGACAACAGACTTTCAGCACGCTTATAGGGAATGACATTCAACAATCACAGCACTTAGGCTTTTGACATTATCGATCATAGCCTGTTGCTGAAAAAACATATGTGTTATGGCTTTACACCCCCTGCTATATTGTGGATAAAGAGTTACCTGTCTAACAGAACACAAAGGGTGTTCTTTATTTATAGCCTCTCCAACAAAATCCAGGTAAAATCAGGAATTCCCCAGGGTAGCTGTCTAGACCCCTTACTTTTTTCAATCTTTACTAATGACATGCCACTGGCTTTGAGTAAAGCTAGTGTGTCTATGTATGCAGATGACTCAACACTATACATGTCAGCTACCACAGTGACTGAAATGACAGCAACATTTAACAAAGAGCTGCAGTTAGTTTCAGAATGGGTGGCAAGGAATAAGTTAGTCCTAAATATTTCAAAAACTAAAAGCATTGTATTTGGGACAAATCATTCACTAAACCCTAAACCTCACCTAAATATTTTAATGAATATTGTGGAAATTGAGCAAGTTGAGGAGACTAAATTGCTTGGAGTAACCCTGGATTGTAAACTGTCATGGTCAAAACATATTGATACAACAGCAGCTAAGATGGGGAAAAGTATGTCCATAATAAAGTGCTGCTCTACATTCTTAACAGCACTATCAACAAGGCAGGTGTCACGGTTTCGGCCGAGGCTGCCTCTCTTCCTTGTTCGGGCAGGCTTCGGCGTTCGTTGTCTCCGGAATACTAGCTGCCACCGTTGTATGTTTCATGTTCGTTTGCTTTTGTCTGTTTGTTGTGACACCTGTTCTCGTTTAGCGTAATTAGTGTCCTATAAGTTTCTCGTTGTGTTTGTCTAGTGTTGTGTGTGATTGATTTATGTCTGTCGTGTGTTGTGCTTGTATTCGCATATTCACTCGGTTGAGCTTCACTCCACTGCGTTGGAGCATTTACGCACATGTTTAGTGCGCCTTTATTTTTGTCGCCTTCGTGCGTAGTTTCGCCTTCGGGCAAGTGTGTTCGTATTTTCCTTGTTGGAAATTGAACTAAAGTCTTTTGGACTATACTTCGGTGTCCTGCGTTTGATTCCACCACTACACCCACCTACAGCACTCTTGACAGAATCACACACCTTCAAGAATGGAATCAGCAGGAGCCGCAGCAGCCCAGGCACGCTGGAAGACAAGGTTCGTGAACAAGGTGACCAGATCCGGCAGATGGGGTCCGCTCTGCAGGAGGTGATCACCACCATCCGAGGCTGGGGGACTCCTCCACCGCCATCCTCCCTGCCAGCACCATCGGCCAGTCAGCCCATTCCTGCTCCGGAACCCCGAGGAGTTCGACTCTCGCTCCCGAGGGCCTATGATGGGACCGCGGCCGGGTGTCAGGGATTCCTTCTCCAGGTGGAGCTGTACCTGGCCACCGTGCACCCGGCGCCCTCGGGACATGAGAGCGTGTCCGCCCTGATCTCCTGCCTTTCCGGGAAGGCGTTGGAATGGGCCAACGCGGAGTGGAGGAGGATCGACGCGGATACCATCACCTACGACGAGTTCTCCCGCCGCTTCAGGGCGGTGTCTGACCATCCCCCGGAGGGGAAAGTGGCGGGGGAGCGTCTGGTCTTCCTCCGGCAGGGGAGGGGGAGTGCCCAGGAGTTCGCCCTCGAATTCCGTACTCTAGCGGCAGATGCAGGGTGGAATGAGCGGGCTCTCATCGATCACTACAGATGTAGTCTTCGCGAGGACGTCCGTCGGGAGCTGGCCTGTAGGGACACCAGCCTCTCATTCGACCAGTTGGTCGACATGTCCATCAGGCTGGATAACCTGCTAGCTACCCGCGGACGTTCCGAGGGGGGTCCATCCATTTCACCCTCCAGCGCCTCCGAGCCGTGCCCCATGGAGCTCGGGGGCGCTGGCGCTAGAGAGAGGAGGGGTCGGCTTACGAGGGGGTCCATCTTCTGCACCAACTGTGGTCGGGGAGGACACACCGCGGCTAGGTGCTGGGGATGGCCTCCTAGGGGAGAGGACGACAGGTCCCGCACTGGGGATTCCTTCCAGGTGAGTAGGCGCCCCACT